TCCTGCTCCTCTGATGCTGCTTGGCCTGCTGTGTTCATCCAGCTCTATACCTTGTTATCTCAGATTCTCCAGCATCGGCAGTTCCCACCATCTCTGAACAGATTAAGGGGCTCTTGTTGTGGGGTTGGGACCTAAATGTCAGAATCATTAACAGGCAATTATTAACTAATACAGTGAGGCAGCGATGGCTGAGATTACATGGAACTGGGTAACAAGGGGTATGTTAATTAAGAGATAATTGAGTGATAACTCAGTTCTGAGGAAGTGTCACCGGATCCAAAACATTAACTCTGTTTTTGCCTTCACAGATGCTGCCAGACCTGCTGAGCTTTTCCAGCAACTTTGTTTTTGTTATAATTGAGTGAGAACTTGATGGGGTGTAAATTGGAATGTGGAACAAATAATCAGCACGTTGGAATGTTGTAAAGTGTGAGTTGGAATAAACTTTGACGAGAAAAGTATATGCCTAGACACTAACCAACCTTTGTCCTCTGGTGTCAATCAGTGGTAGTCGAAGATGGTTAATTGTTTGAAGTGATTGAAAACTACACATTATTCTAACAAAAGAGTAATTTGGAAAAATGCTTTGGCGAGGTGCTGGAATCTAAATCTAAAGTAACAGGGAACTAACAGCCAGTCTTGTTGTCAGAATGCACAACTAACAATCAGTGAAAGGATGAAGAAACCATGTGGTCCCATATTACTTCTTTACCTAAGGAAAACAAAGCATGGCTTTGACTCTTTCACAACCATTAAAAAGTAGGACAAGAAGCAATTTTTAAATATAATTTGGAAACTGAGGATTTGGATGCTGTTGAAGGTTTGGACACATTGTTAATTTTTAAATGTTTTTTTCAAAAAGGTGAGTTAGAAGGATGAGGTGGATCTTGTTGAAACTTACAGAATACTGATTGAATCAGAGATAGTAGGAACTGCAGATGCTGGAGAATCCGAGACAACAAGGTGCAGAGCTGGATGAACACAGCAGGCTAAGCAGCATCATAGGAGCAGAAAGGCTGACGTTTTGGTGATGAAGGGTCTAGGCCCGAAACGTCAGCCTTTCTGCTCCTATGATGCTGCTTGGCCTGTTGTGTTCATCCAGCCCTGCACCTTGTTGTCTAGAATACTGATGGAGTGCTGTTTTGGATCACAGGGTGTATCCAAGCAGTCCTTTTCGAATTTAGTTGAATGCAGTTAAGAGAAAACTAAACAACAGCAATTTGCTTAAATATGACTTGTAACGAAAGTCTCCCTTATACAGTGTAACAAACAAACAGTACCGAAAACAAGCTGAGCCAGTACAGAAAACTAGCTGAGCAAGTACAGAAAAGCAACTTTAATTATGCCATCTTTGGCACGTACAAGAATGTTCACAGGACTCATTCAAGGTCATGCAGCTGTCGAATATCATCAACAATTTTAACACTTCAGCCCTCCCTATACAAGTGGACAGGGAGAAGATGTTTCCATTTGTAGGAGAGACTGAGAGCCAAGGGCACATTCTCAGAGTGAAAAGATGACCCTTTACAACTGAGATGACGAGGAATTTTGTTCAGCCAGTGATTAAGCTCATGGCTGCAGAAGGTTGTGGAGGTCAAGTCATTGTGCGTATTTAAGACATAGATAGATACGTTCTTGGTTAGTAAGGGGATCAAGAGTTATGGGAAGAAGGCAGGAGAATGACGTTCAAAAACATCAAATATGAGCAAATGGCAGAGCAGACTCTATGGGCCGAGTGGCCTAATTCTACTCCTGCATGTTTTGGCCTTAAGGATTTACTCTCTGCTAATGCGGCATGGTGAGATTTTGACAAATTCAGAAAGAATGAGGATATTTCCATAGAAAAGTACAGTGGATTATAGAAGTTTGAAAGATATTCTATTTGGAAAGTCCTCAATCTGTGCTGGCATTTTAGTTGTTAGACTGTGCCAAAGTAGACTTCCAGTTTTGACAGAAACTAAATTGGCAGATTAATATACTCTGCCAGAAAAAATGTTGGAAGCAGAGAAAAACGTCCTTTGAAAGTGTTTCCTTTCTGCATTGTTCGTTGTACAAGTGAAACAATCAGCCATGCAACAAAAAATATGGAGGACAATTTTTAATGGGCTGATGGGACCACTTAGAAATAGGACACTGGCAAAAGTACAAAAGAAGAAATTTGATTATGAGAAATAAGAACAGAGTTTCTTTTGACAAGCATGAGAAGTGAAATGAATTTGGGGCTTACAATAAAAGAATGAACTCCTGAAATGCATAGGGTGTAGTCAGTCGATATTTCCAGTATGATTCAAAGTACAATGCACCATGAAATGTGCCAAACAATTTTATAGCTAATTCCATACTAACTTCAAAATGTGTGATTTAGAAGAAGAATGTTGAGATATGGATCAAAGAAAGGATCTTGTATTAGTTACAAGATATTTGAACTCAGTTGTTTGCTGATTGCATTGGTAGCAGGATCTCTCTTTATGAAGGATTAGGTGTTGGATACACATCTACAACATGTGCAATTGACTGGCTGAAATGTTACCTGGAGTATCTGAGTAATAAGGATAGGAATAAAGTTAGGGAATTTGTGAGTTCCATCTATTTCATGTGGACTAATTATATACTAAAACCTTTAAAGAGAGCAACCATTCCTTGTGAAAGAGCCAGAATCAATTACTTTATTAGCATGAAGTAGTGTCCAGTGATGTATTACTGTTATTATGGCCATTGATGAACCAAGTGCAAATGAAACTGGATAGGAAAATGACAAAGCTTTTGTATTTGAAA